CGCCGTTTTTGAGGTGGCCTGGCTGGTCGTTGGCTTGTCCAGGACGCTGGCAGGGAGCCAGGGAGAATACATGCACCCAGCGAGGTGAATGCATGGGATTTTTTGTGGATACCATGCGAACCTCAACCAACCAATCTAGAAACGATTGCTGGGCGAGTTGTTTCGAGCAGGGGAGGGAATGAGCATGAGTGAAACAGCCAAGGGGGAACTGGCCAACCCCACAGAGGGATCAGCCCAGGCAGTTGTTGTTCTTGTTGTTGCCAGGAAGCCCACTTGGGTCCGTCGGGGTGCCTGTTGAAGGCCTCCCTGCCCGCGCCTCATCCGTTCCCTCCCCTTCCCCCTTCCTCTGCGTGGGCCTGAGCTCGTGTCCCGCGATTGCGACCCGCAACCGCGCGTGTGCGCGTGGCGTGCCACGCACAGCCGATCAGCAGAATGAGCGATGGGACTGGTCCGTAGCCTTCGGGCTCGAGCTCGGTCACTTCACTTCCATCTGCGCCTGTCGACCTCCAGCGCCCCGACCTCGATCAACGAGGACAACATGCATTGAGGGCCCCGGCCCCCCCCGCGCAGGCCCTCGAGGGCCCCGCCTCCGGCGGAACCGCGCGCTCGCCTCGCGTCGCCTCGCCTTCCCCCGGTGGGGCCCAGCGGCTGGCGATGCATTGGCTAGGGCCCTTCATCGTGGCCTTCGTGTCTGCGCCGTGCCTCGCCAACGGGGGGGGCTTGGCCCAGGGGCCGGCGACGAGCCCTGGCGCACCGCGGCCAGCAGGAAGCGGCGCTGGACCAGCGCCAGGCGACCTCGGGTCAGCAGCGCTGGCGCAGCCGAACGGCAGCAGCGTGCCAGCAACCCCGTCGGGCGTCGGGGCTGCAGGAGCTGGCCCGGAGCTCCCGGCAGGCTCGGGGATGATGTCCCGCGTCGAGGAGGAGACGAGGGAGCACCTCGGGACGAGCGCGGCGGCGGCGGCTTTCAGCAGGCAGGTCAGCCACGTGTCCTCGGCGCGGGGGCGGGCGGGCGACCACCACAAGCCCGACAGCATCATGGACGACGACGAAGACCTCTCCGATGACCAGGAGAGGAGCCACCGCGTGGACCACAGGAAAAGGTCTGTCGCAGGGCACGCCAGCGGCGGAACGGCCCGCGCCCAGGCCCACTCGGACAGCGCTGTGCTCGCTGTCGTGCTGAGGACCGTGTGCCTCCTGGCTGCGCTGATGGCGTGCTTCGGCCTGGCGGTCGCGGCGACGGCCCGCGGCTGCAGCTGGGCCGCCTCCGCCGCCCTGCGCGACCCCGCCGGAGCGGCGCTCCTCGCCGCAGGTGCCGCGCGAGGGTGCGAGCCCGCAGAGCAGGTCGGTGGGTGCAGGGCTGTGCAAGCGAGGTGCCGGCCCTGGCGGGGCTCCGCCTGGGCCCCGCAGCGGGGCCGGCGCCCTGGTGACTCGGCCTGGCCTGGCCAGGGAAGCGTGTGCACCGGCCTTGGGCCTGGCATGCGAGGCTTAAGACCGAGGCGAGGTCTAGGATCGAGGTCGGCTCGGGGAGGGTAACCCCCGAAGGTTCTCCTCCGTGCCCGTGGTAGTTCCTCTGGTGCATCCTCTTGGGGAGGGCACCCGCGAGGGATCTTCTGCCCTGGGCTGTCTCGGCCGGCGGAGGGCCCCCGGCTGTCCGGCCGGCGGAGGAGGAGGAGGAGGAGCACTTCTCGGAAGCCCTGGCGCCTCCCGAGAAGTCTCCTGTGCCCTCGGGGAAGGCTCAGAAAGCCACGGAGCAGGCCAAGGGACTTCGGGCCCTCTGAGCATGGAGAGTAGGAGATCGACCACGGGATTGCTCTGCCCCCAGATTCGAACTGTCGCCGAACCGGCGGAAACTGCGTAGAGCGCTGACAGATCTGCGAACAAATCTGCCCATGTTCTCGCAGACTCGACAAGGAAATCAAGCTTGGGGCAACTCAGCGATGCAGTTGATTTCCTCGAGAGCAGGACCGCCCCTTCTCGCTTCCCCTCTGGATTCGCCGCCGATCTGGGCTTGTCCCTGGGGTCCGACGAAGCGGACAAAGTTGCGACATCGTAAAAGTCAGGAGGGGAAAAGCACAAACAAAATGAATCGTGGGGGTGAAGACGAAAACCCAGAAGATATTGGAACATATGGGGAGTCCTGGGATTTGTGTGTATTTTTTTTTGAAATGTGTGTGTGTGTGTGTCCTGGGCTCCTTAAACCATCACGCCCATGGCCCTGGACACCCTCTTCCTGTGCCATTCTTCGAACAGGATCGATCTGCAAGGGTCCCCGGGCCTGCAATCAAGCAGCGGCGAAGCGTCTTTGCCTGCCTGTAGGCCTACCAAATAATGTTCCAATCATCTTTGTTTGCGCTCTGCACGAAATGTTCCTATAACATTTCTGGCTGAGACTGTCTTGGCTTAACACAGCGGGCTTATGTTCTAGGAATACTGTTATATTTTGTCAGAACATCTTTTGGGTTCTACTAGAAAACTTCGTGGTAGGCCTATAGGAATGCTG